CAAACGTGAGACGGAGGTGTAGGGTCAGGGGACAGCGGAGGGGACACAGGAGGGGAACGAGGAGGAAGACGGGCCGGAGACGAGTCCGGCGGCGGGACCACAGGATCGTAGACAGGAAGGTCAGCAGGCGGTGGGGGAGACACTGGCGCGCGGTCCGGGGAGAGAAGGCCGAGCAGGCGGAGAGCGGAGACCGGCGGCGACGGCTGCGGCGGCTGCTGCGACAGCTGGGCCGGAACCCTCGGACCAGCAGAGGCAGGACGACCGTCAGCGGAACCCTCAACAGCAGCACCTGCAGAACCAACACCCCCAGAGCAAGAACCCCCTCCAACTCCAGCGGCACCCCCGGGAGCCGCAGGACAAACACCCTCCTCAACGCCAGCACCCCCAGAGGCCAACGGCGGCAGCGGCGGCGGCGGCGACGGCGGCTGCGGCGGTGGCGGCGACGGCGGCTGCGGCGGTGGCGGTGACTGCGATTGCGACGACAGCGGCGGCGGCGACGACGGCGACTGCGGCAGGGAAGGCGGAGACACCAGGGAAGTGGGACACGGTAGGGACGGGCCGGGGGGTCTACCAGAGTCAGCAGACTCCTCAACGGGGACAACCGACGTGAGGGGAGTGACGTGAGAGACACCAGACGGGGCAGGACGAGGCGGGAGAGGAGCAGGGGCTACCGGGGGAGAGGGAGCCAGGAACAGGGGCGGGGCAATCGGGAGACCTCGGTAAGGGAAGCGACGGTAGAAGGAGACAGACTCGTCAAAGGTGACGTCAGGAGAGTGGAGGAAGCGGTGAGACGGCGGGTGGTAGAAAAGCCAGTCAGACGAGTCCAGGAGAAAACCGAGGAAGACATAGGGGACAGTGCGGGCAGTGAGCTTGTCCGTGCCAGAGGCACGAACGTGAGCAAGGCAGCCCCAGACGTGGAACGCAGACGCGTCACCGGGGGACCCGGTCCAAAGGAGGGTCGGCGAAACCTGCGGCCGCTGGGAACGTGGCCACAAGTTAAGCTGGTGAGCAGCGTAGCGAACAGCGAACGGCCACAGAAAATGGGGGGCATCGGCATGAATCATGGAGGTACGAGCAACCTCCATGACCAAGCCGATGCGGCGCTCAGCAACCCCATTCTGCTGTGGCAAGTCCGGCAAGGTGTACGAGTGGGTGATGCCCTCCGCACGACAGAACTGTCCAAGCCGACCAGAGGCGAACTCGCCGCCACGGTCAGAGTGGAGATACAACACGGGGAGACCGCGGTGAAGACGCGCAGCCACAACCCACGGGAGAAGAACGTCGAGCACGCCGGCCTTCCGCTCCAGGGGAAACACTGTGGTGGAGCGCGTGTAGTCGTCAACGAGCACAAGGAAGTAGCGCTCACCGCGCGGTCCGGGGACGGGGGCAGGGCCCCAAACGTCCAGGTGCAGGGTCTGAAGGGGGGCAGTAGCAGGGCGCAGCGAGGAGGAGTGAGGAGCACAGCGGAGCCGACCCTTGACGCAAGGCGTGCACGGTGGCGCAGTCGAGGGAGGAAGGGCAGGGAGCGACGCGGGGAGACCTAAGACAAGACCGTGCTGGGACATGTGATGCAGACGCGGGAGAGCAGGGTGACCTAAGCGGTGGTGCCAGAGAAGGGACGGGTGAGTGAGGGACCGACACGAGCAAGTTGCAGCGACCAGGGAGGACGCACCAACCTGGGGGGAAGCAGTTTCTAGGGTAAACAGACCGGGCACCGGGTCCCTGGGGAACGTCGCAAGGGGGGAACCTGAGACAGCCTCAGAATAGACAGCGAACCGCTCGTGCCCGGGGAACGTGGTGGTGACGCCGAGGTCCTGGAGACAGCCGACACCAACCAGGTTCCTCGAGAACGAGGGAACGTGGAGGCCTGTGAGGGAGCCCGAGGGAAGTGCTGGACAGGGAAGGGACGTAGAATTGCGAGCAACGACAGGACCCGCAGAGGGGTCAGCGAGAGAGACAACAGCATGCATAGCAAGCGGCGTGAGCGTGGAACGGTCGCGGAAGATGCAGGCAGAAGCACCGGAGTCGAGAGTGAAGGACAGCGACGCAGTGGCGGAGGCCGGGGACGGAGCCGGTGCAGCGACTAGACTAGGCAAGCTAGGCAGTCCTATGCCTAACGCAGCAGGGGAGGCTAAGCTACACAATGGTGACACACCTAAACTAGAGTACACAGGTTAATAAGATCCAGCAACACTAGAAGCGGCAGAATACAAAGCATGCAAAGCAGCACCTATCTGATCCATGTCTAACTCAAAGATCGGCACGCCCTAGCGGAGCAGGCTGTGCCAGTCGGGAAGATCCGGGGCCGGGCCAAAGCGACGACGAAAGAGATCGTTGAGGCGGCGGAAACGGCGGGCGATCGGGTGCGGGCGGCGGCACAAAGTGCCGCGAAGAGGCTCGGTCTGCAGCTGGTACTGGCAGGTGACAGCACCGGAGCCGCCGGTAGACACCAAGCTGCGCGGGCCGCCACCACGGCCACTACCTTCGGAGGTGCCGGGCCTGCTAGCCGGGAGACAGGCCCACTGCTGCGGCGACTGCTGCTGGGACGGCGGCTGCTGCTGGGGCGGCGGCTGCGGCTGGGGCTGCTCCTGCTGCGGCTGGGGTTGCTGCTCCTGCCCACCAGTGGTAGTCCCCGCAGGCGGACTACCGTCACCACCACCACCACCACCACCTGCGCCACCACCCCTATCTCCCTGGCGACCACGGCCACCACGGCGCGAGCGCTGCTGCGGGTGGACCGCAGCAGCTGTCTCGATGAGAGGGGTCGCCGTGGCGACCGCAGACAAAACGTCAGTGAACATGCACTGGGAGGGGGCACAACCGTGAAAGGTAGAGACTGCCGGCGCACAGCTCGACTGAGCGATAGTGCGCTGGCGAGTCTCGATCTCGGTGAGGGTATCGACAAAGGCGGTGAGGGTGAGGTCACTCGGGTGCTGGCTAAGGAAGTGGTCGCGAGCACTAGCGAGGCGGTCTGGCAGGCGCATGGCGATAAAATAGAGCGTCATGCAGAAAGGGGGGGGAAAGCGCAGTGAGCTGGGCAGCAATGCTGGCAGTGCGATAGCGGGCCTCTAGGGCATACAGGTGAGTGGTAAAGTCCGCGACGGTAGGGAAGGCTGCAAGGTCTGGGAAAAGCATAGGGAAGAGCAGGCGGCTAGCAGAAGCAGACGCGGGTGTGGAATAGCGAGCAATAACGGCGTCTAAGTAAGCTTTGGCCGTCTCAATAGTAGCAAAGCGCGAGCGCTCAGACACAGGGAGGGCGTGGCTAATAGCAACCTGAGCGACTGCATCACGGGAGTCCCAGACCACACGGGCAAGCGCAGCAGTAGAGAAGGTCTCACTGTCATCAGAGGTGGGGTCAGTAGGGAGGGGAGCAGGTGCGGGGGGGCGGGGGAGCAAGCCGTCGACATGGACAACCAAAGAGTGGCCATCCTGGCGCTGACCTGTAAGGTGGCGGCAGAGATCGGAGAGCCAGGCGGCGAAGTCAACCGCATGGCCCTCGGCGTCCAGTCGGAGCACGAAGTCAGCCATCGTGCAGGGTCAGTGGCACAGCTCCACAGGAACACAGCGACGCAGGGACACGGCGACAGCACTCTCCAGCACGGCGGCCGCGAGGCGCCCCAGCACCGGTGAGCAGAGTAGACGGAACCCGAGGCGGCACGACAGGACGAGCAGGCACGAAGATGGGCCGGGCGGGCAGAGGGAGAGGCCAGGCAGACGCGGCGGGGCCGGGCAGACGCGGCGGGGCCATGCAGCCGCGGCGGGGCCAGGCAGGCGCCGAGGGGCCAGGCAGGTGCGGCGGGGCCAGGCAGGCGCCGCGGGGCCAGGCAGGCGCGGCGGGATCAGGCAGGCGCGGCAGGGCCAGGCAGGCGCGGCGGGGCCAGGCAGGCGCGGCGGGGCCAGGCGGGCGCGGCGGGGCCAGGCAGGCGCGGAGGGGCCAGGCAGGCGCGGCGGGGCCAGACAGGCGCGGCGGGGCCAGGCAGGTGCGGCGGGGCCAGGCAGGCGCAGCGGGGGGGCAGGCAGGCGCGGTGGGGCCAGGCAGGCGCGGCAGGGCCAGGCAGGCGCGGAGGGGCCAGGCAGACGCGACGGGGCCAGGCAGGGCGCGGGGCTAGGCAGGGCGCGACGTGGCCAGGCGGGCGCAACAGGGCCAGGCAGGGCGCGACGGGGCCGAGCGGGCGCGACGGGGCCAGGCAGGGCGCAACGGGGCCCAGGAGGGGCGCGACAGGGCTAGGAGGCGCGACGGGTCCCAGGAGGGGCGCTAGGGGGCGCGACGGGGCCCAGGAGGGGCGCTACGGGGCTAGGAGGCGCGACGGAGCTAGGAGGCACAACGGGGCCCAGGAGGGGCGCGACGGGGCGAGGAGGCGTGACGGGGCCCAGGAGGGGCGCGACGGGGCTCAGAAGTGGCGCGACGGGGCTAGGGGGGGCGCGACGGGGCCCAGGAGGGGCGGGATTGGGCTAGGGGGCGCGACGGGGCCCAGGAGGGGCGCGACGGGGCTAGGGGGGCGTGACGAGGTCAGGAGGGGCGCGACTGGGCTAGGGGGCGCGACGGGGCCCAGGAGGGGCGCGACGAGGCTAGGGGGCGCGACGGGGCCCAGGAGGGGCGCGACGGGGCTAGGAGGCGTGACGGGGCCCTAGGGGGGGGGGGGGGGGCGTGGCGGGGCCTAGCTAGGGTACGGGCGGAAGCGGTAGGTGGGGGATTTTAACCTACGCGTGATACCATGTTGAAGTGAGAACTGAATGAATAGACTAGAAGTGGAAACCTTGAACAAATACTAGTTGGTTGTACTCACTAGAAGCATACCTCATTCTAGCCTATAACTTCTATATAGCTAATATGTATATGTTGACATGAACACACGCATGGCTACAGTGCTGGAGGACAACCGTGAGTGTTGATGCATGCACAATAAGGGCGCGTCCTAGAAGTACGTCCGAATGAGATTGAGTGAGGTGAATGACGTTTCAGAAGGATCAAATAACTTCACAAAACAACGGTAGGGAAATGGCAAAAAACGAACACTTAGGACATGCCATTAGGGCACCATATTTAGCAGACCTTCGCACATGTTTAGTTCCTCCCACTTTGTCGTGTCCTTCGCATGCCTTGGGCCAGTGCGGCTTTCTTATTACAACCATGTGATAAGTGCTGCAAGACTTGAGCTAGTTCAGCTGCACACAACAAAACCAGGGATGAAGCTAACTCTTCATGCACAAAGCTATCCACTCAAGCAAGAATGGTGAGGGTGCCATCCTCCGTCGACAGCACAAGCTCACACTCCTGCCCGCCATGCGTGTGCCCTGCCTCGCCTGCATCACCCCCATCCCCATGCTCTTGACTGCTCCTTCCACCCTCAGCATCCCACCGTGCCCCCCTATCTGCCTGCCCCCAATGCCCCCCAGCAGCCTCCCTGGCAGTCACCACGAATTTCACATCACTGGAGGAGCCCCGAGCCACGGTCACCCTGAGGCTCATGCTGCCTGCTGCTTCACCTGCACCGTCTCCCTCCTCTCCCTGCGACCTGTGCTGCCGCCCCTCTGCCGGCAGCTCGTGGAGTGACTCCCCGGCAAAGGCTTCCAGGCCTGTGATCCATGGCCACCAGCAGGTGAACAAGAGACAAGGCAAACAGTCAGACAAAGGCCCGGGTGGTTGGAGCGCAGTCGAAGCACAGATTTCACACTGGCAGTGCAGGTTGAAATGAGTCATCAGAGCAGGCTGTCATGGAGGGCAGTGCCTGCCCAGTGCCCGCCACTCACCTCGCTGCATGTAGCCGTCGTCGCCGTCAATGCTGACCAGCACGTCCGCCAGCTTCAGCCCCGGTGGCAGCTTGCCACCTGTCGCATCGCCATCACCGTCCGCAACGGTGTCAAGCCCAAAGAGGGTGCGCGCCGCTCTGTTGGCGCACGTGAGCTTGCCGTCCGCTGCCACCGCCACCATTGCATGCTGCGTCGCCTGGGGGGGGGGAGAAGGTGGGGGAGAGGGAGCAAGGAGCGGGAGAGGGCAGGGGAATGGGGGAATCGGGGATGAGGAAGAGGGTGATGACGCGGGCATGACAACTGCAGGGCAACCTCCCTGCCCTCTGCACCTAGTCTTCCCCTAAACCCCGATCCACCATCCTCCCTCCGCCTTCCACGCACCCACTCCGCCCACACGCGCGCATGTCATCCGCGCGGCGCTCACCTCGAGCATGTCGTTGAGTCGCTCCTCCGCCTCCCACTTCTGCCGCCGCCGTTGCACGCCCACCACCACCTGCGCCACCGTTTTAGTCACGGGCTGGATGCTCATCAGCAGGCTCTCGTTGTAGCCGCCCTCGCGGTTCGACACGGCGTACATGCCCACCAGGTCGGGCCCGGAGAACAGGGGAACGCCCAGGAAGCTCCGCATCACCGGGTGGCCGGGCGGCACGCCTTGTCTGGACGCGCGCGGGTCGGAGGGCACGTCGTTGCTGATGACGACGTCGGCGGACGTCACGACGCGGCCGAAGATGGTCTCGAGGTTGCCGAACACCAGCCCCTTGGGCGCGTTCTCCGCGTACCACGCGCGCAGCTCGCGGTTCCACGCCAGGTTCGTGATGGAGTGCGTCTTCAGGTACATCGACCCATCGGCGCGCTTCAGCGCGCTGGCGATGAAGCCGGACTCGGAGTGCGTGAGGTCGAGCAGCTGCGAGAGCAGGTAGTCGGCGACCTGGCTGGCGTTGGGCGTCATGTCGCGCGCGAAGATCTCGTGCGTCTTGGTGATCACCGTCAGCAGCTTGCGGTTCATCGCGTCCACCGCCACGCCGCTCGCGCTCATCCCCATGCCCGTGCTGCGGCTCCCGCCCGCTCCCGCGCCCGCTCCGCTTACCGCCCCGCGCGCGCCGGAAGCGCTTGCGGAGCCCGCCGTCGCGGATCGCGCGGGGAGAGACGCGTCCGCGCAGTGACGTGTCGTCGTGCCGTTGAACGGCAGATTTCGCGCAGTCGACAGTGCGGCATCCTTTGTCTCGTAGCTGCTGTAGCGCGCCGAGTGGCCAAGAAACGGGCACGCGGGGAGCTCCTCCGATCCGTCCGTTGCGACTCGGCTGAAAGCTATCATGCTGCCGGCCGGCAAGCCGCGGGTAGAGACGGCTGGCTGGTTATGCTGCTGCTGGTGCGGCAGCGGGTGCTGCATGAGACGAGAGAAGGGCGTTCGCGGGCAGCCGGACGGGCTCGGAGGGATGGACGTCGGAGGCGGTGCCTGCGCGGCTGTAGCGCCCTTGGGATTGCCGCTATTAAAACTGCTGTAGCTGCTGTAGCGCGTCGCGGCGCTGACAGTGTAATCATCATCGGAAGTCCCCGAGCCGGACGAATGGCGGCTCGCTAGCGTGGCGGCATCATCGACGAATGTGGTGTCATCGGACGATCCCGATGACGTGGTGTAAAACAGCAGGCGGCCGGACGGGGAAGCAGGTACGTCGCCCTTCGTCGCGCCTGCCGCGGGAGCCACAGGGCTTGAGAATGGCCCCGAGCCTTTTGCGGAGCCTGGATTGGAGGCCGGGCCCAGGCCTGGCGTTGTGGGGGCAGATGTAGATTTGAGGCTTTGGACGAGATGGATGGCGCCGTGCGTTGCGGCGGCCATGGCTACCGGCTGTTTCGGGCATTTCAGGCATCTCATGCCGCCGGCTTCCACGGCGCGCACCACGAGCAGCCACTCCTCTCTGCTCCACCGCGCCGCTACCTCAAGCGGCGCCGCCACCAGATCTGATTCGGCCGTTATTGGAGCGATCGCGCTTGACCGAGCTGCTGCCGACGAGCCCGGTGTGTGCGGCGGCTGCACGGCGGCTGTCGTGCGCGGAGTGATGGGAGCGGAGGGGAGCGACGCGGGCTGCGGGATTGCCAACGGCGGAGGGTTTGCGGAAGACGGCTTCCTCAAAGCGACGTGTTCCGGCGGGGCAGCGGAGAAGGCGGAAGCAGTTTGACCGTTGGCGCTCGCGCTTGTGGAAGCGGCTTCGGAGCTTACGTTGAGCGCGGAGGCCACTGCGGCGGACGCTGCGGGCAGAAGGGCGGTTCGGGGCGCAGCGCTGGCGAGCGTCACGGGCGCGGGGTCGAGTAGGCGCACCGTGCTGCGCGGCTTTGCTTTGCGCGTCTCGAGCTTGGCGCGCATTGCGACGGCGGCGACATGGTCCTGCACGAGCGGGCTGCTGGAGACCCCCACGAGCTGCCGCTGGCTCCTACCGCCGAACTGACTCACGCGAATCGACGGCTGAAAGTCGATCGACGGCGGCATGGGGGCCTTCTCGTCCTTGGCCTGCACGGGGTTCGTGTTGAAAATGGCGAACCACGGACGACCGAAGCTGGGCGCCATGCTGGAGTGCGCGATTAGCCGAGTTGGGCCAAGTGATGAAATGGAGAAGGTGAAGGAGCGAATGGGTGGGTTGGAAGGATTTGGTAGCAATGGCTTGAGCGGGCTTGGATTGAGGTGAGGGTGTCAAGTGATGCGGTGCGAAAGGCGCACAAGGGCAGATTGGATTCGTCAGGAAGGGGGTGGGTGGATTGTGGTGGAGGGGAGAGCGGGACAGCAGAGCAGAGCACCCAGTTCACTCACCCACACTTACAGCTGGATGGCTGACTGGTGCGAGAAGTGAACGGGATGGGATGGCGTGGGTGGGAGACATGATGAGACGAATGGGGGGAGTGGCAGGAATGGCAGCGGCAGCCCTTGAAAATGCCGAAAATGAATCTGCGCGCTGCGCTTCGCCTATGGCCCCAAGCCCCCAAAAATTTCTTCCCTCAACGATCGCACCTCGAATACTGTAGGAGGTTATTGTTGGTGTGGGCTTTGGCCGTCTCTCAACTGGCGGGGCTTTTGGGTGTTGTCCGTGTCCCCGATCATGCCTTTTTTTCCCACCCAGGAGCAAGGGTGGTTTGCGTGTACGGGTAACGGGACCCTATCCAAACGGCCAGCTGGCAGAGCTTCCTGTCTGGTAGTACACGACAAATACATAAATTGCTTCATTATCCACGCTTGTTTGGAAGATTTTCCCTCGTGCTCTGATTGGGTGAAACCATTCGTGTGAGCTGTGGAGGACCCTCAATAAAAATATCCAAGGTGCAGATTTGCGTGGCTCCAGAGGAATGCACACATGGACTAAACAAGAGCCATGAATCACTGCCCGAAATGATGAGGTAAGTTTCCAGACGAATCTTCCCGTTCTGAGCAGCCGCGCTAAGTCATCATATGTCTTCTCCAGGTGTATGCGCTCGAACCATTTCCCACACCTGGACAAAAGAGGAGTTATTAGTAAAACGTACGCAAACTCATGGTTTTGCTCTCACAAGAAAATGCTAAAATCACAACCAAATAAAGAGCTCACCTTTCTAACACCGCTTGAAAGGCCAACTTCCGTCATCTCCATTTCCCCACGCCAACACCAATGCTGGTGGATTGGTAGTGAACAACTCTCATTTCCATCATCCTGATGACTTGTAACCTGCTTGCCTCTTGTTCTTGCCTTAGCCACTGCATCTCCCAGGCTGCACTCCCAAGTAATCGGTTCTTGCCTGCAGCAGTTGCTTGCCTCAGCCCCCTCTGCGATCAAAATCCGCTCGATCAACATATGCTGGTGTATGTGGGAGAAGACATGCAAGGCCTGGCCCACATCACGCTGCTCTATCACACGCCACTTGCTCCCCTCCCCCTCCTCCTTTCCCTCCTGCAGCATCCTTCCATCCAGGCTGAGCTGGCCAGACCCCTCTACAGTCACATTGGGCAGCATCTGGTTGAGCAGGCGCAGCACGGCCTGTCGTCGTTGCGGCTCTGCAGGCCTGCCTGGGCCGGTCGACAGCACGAGAGCGGGGAACTCCCACAGCCCGGCCAGCAGCCCCTGCGGTGGCCGCTGCACCAGAAGGAACTGAGAAGGCTCCTCCATGCTAGGTTGATTGCTGCTTCGGCTGCTGACTGAACGCCTGCCGTTCTCGGCAGACACACCAGCTGATGCCACCGATGCGTGCGATGGTGCCGTTGCAGACGCCACTCCCCTCCTCTCCACCACACACACTGCCACCCACTCCTCCCTCGGTGCTGCCTTGGCCTTGCGTACAGGGAAGTCCGTCACCCTCACTCCTCTCCCGTCCACCCCCCCATCCTCCCCATCCCCCCTGTCTGCTCCCTGCTGCTGCAGGGCGAGGGCGCGGCAGTGGGGGGAGAGGGGGCAGGAGGAGCAGGAGGGGGAGGAGGGCGAGCACACGAGGGAGCCAAGGTCCATCAGCGCCTGAGGGGGAGGGTTGCGAGAGAGGGGGAGAAGTGTCTCTTCACATGCCGCAAGGCTCTCACGGTCAATATGGAGAGGTGCAGAGGGGTGAAAGAGACGCTGTCTGATGGGGGAAGCAATCGAGGGTGAAGCAGCGCCCCGCGCAAGCCAGTGCTCCCACCTGGTTGAAGTCCCCTGGGCGCGAGGGGTGCAGCAGGCGGGAGGCGAGGAGGGCGAAGAGCGAGGAGGAGGCGGCCTGATGCAGCGGCAGGGGCAGGGCTCTGAGGCGCGCCAGGATGCGCATCACGTTGCCGTCCACCGCTGCTGCCGCCTGTGGGGGGCGTGCGGGTAGGTGCCAGGGGCGGACGAGGGATGGTAACAGTGAGCAGTGGTGCGGAGAGGGGCTGAATGCATGGGAGCAGTCGAGGGGGAATAAGATGCTCCTGCAATCCTGTGAATTCCCAATCCCCGCCATTCACTCACCCCTCACCCCTCGCCCCTCACCCCTGGCCCCTGGCCTTGTGCGCCCCGCTGACCTGGTTGAAGGCGATGGAGGCGATGGCAGCAGCGGTGTAGGGTCCGATGCCCGGCACACCCAGCAGCTCCTCGGCGGTGCGCGGCATGCGCCCCCCGTGGCGCTGCTGGATGTGCTGCGCGCCCTGGCAGGGGAGCATGCGGGGAGAGAGGGGGAAAGCGAGGAGGAGAGAGGGGGGTGGATGAGAGGTCCGATGAAGGATACGCCATAGAGGAAAGCAGGGGGCAAGGACGGATGACCTGCGGCTGTGGACCAGAAATAGTGAAATGTAGCAAGCGAGGCCAAGAGCGACAAGGCTAGAGTGCGGGTGCAGGGTTGTGAGGAGCGCATCAATGGAATGGAGGAGGGGAGGGCGGAGGACGGGAGGGCGGAGGACGGGAGGGCGGAGGACGGGAGGCTGGCGGGCGGGAGGGCGGAGGACGGGAGGGCGGAGGAGGGGAGGGCGGAGGACGGGAGGGCGGAGGAGGGGAGGGCGGAGGAGGGGAGGGCGGAGGAGGGGAGGGCGGAGGAGGGGTGAGTGCACCTGCAGCAGGTACTTGGCCCGGCGGTAGTATCCCAGGCCAGCCCACACGGCGTTGACCTCCTGGCGCCATGGGGGCGAGAGGGGAACGGCGCACAGGGAGGGCGAGGAGGGCGGGGAAGAGAGGCAAGGCGGCATGGGGAGACAAGGGCGGGAATGAGAGGGAGATAGGGGCGCGGAAAACGCTGTCCGGTTCGCAAAATCATTTCCCAAACCTCGCTAGCCAACATACTTGACCACGCTAGGGCTCACTGCACCGTATTAAACCAATCCAGAACCCTTCAAGTTGATCCTCTGGAGGGTGGATTCCGGCCAGCCGTACAGCATGTTCCACGCAACGCGGCGAGGCGAGGCTGACCTCCAGGGAAGCGGCAGCGAGGCGGGGCAGCGAGGGCCAGCGGGCCATCCAGCGGTGGAAGTAGGGCGCCACGGTGCTCACGCGCGTCTGCTGCAGCATCACCTCGCTCACCCACACGCCGTACGCCCGCCGCTCCCCCTCCGCTGCCTCCTGCCCCTCCTCCCCTTCCGCTCCTTCCTCCGCCTCCCCCCTGCCGCCTCCCACTGCCTCGTCCCCCTCGCCTCCAACCTCACTCCCTGCCGGCGCGCGCCACGGCAGGTCGCGGCGGTTGGCGTCGTACCACTCCAGCAGCGCGGACCGCGCGGCGACCACCTCCTCGTCGCTGAACCCGTACTTCATCTCCAACGCCTCCTTCCATGGCTGCCTCCCCGTCCCCTTGCCTGCATCGGCCTTTAATCTCTTCGCCTTGGTCCTCCTCGAGGCGCCACCTGCTGCCAGTCCCCTTCGTCGCGCCGCTCCTTTCTCTCTAACGCCCTCGTCGCTCTCGTCGGACCTCCCCTCCTCGCTACTGACCTGCTCCGCCTCCTCTCCCTCCAGCCCCCCTCCCTCCTTGCCATCCATGTCTCCCTCCACGCCACGTGACACCTTCCCTCCTAAGTCCTCGATGTCGCTAATAGGAGCCAGCGGCCGGGCGGAGCCCCTGCGCCTGCTGCTGGGCGCGCTGCGAGCGGAGCAAGTTGACGATGGTATCGACAAGCGTGATTCACGGGGAGCGGAAGGCGGAGTGCGAAGATTGGCTTCGGGTGAAGCGCGACGAGCGAGTGGGATGGCTAATTGTGCTGCAGCGAGCGGCTTCTGCGGCGGAACACATGGCGGCTGCGGGGATCGCGGAGGTGAGGAGCGGCGACGAGACGATCGCGTCTGAACTGGCATGGAGACGAATGGAGTCAAACAATGCGAGGGCAAGGCGACGACACGTGGCGATAAGATCAGTGGCGATGAGAGCAGTCGTCGCATAGCCGAGCAGCCGTGAGGACAGCAAGGAGAAATACTTGCCTGCACAGCATTAGAAAAATACTTGGCGACGAGACTGATTTACTGCCAATGACGCCGCCCTCGTCGTTTCAACAATGTCCAGAAATACAGAATCGGCCTGTAATGTAACATTTTGGAAGCATTTGAGATTCGTCAGGGATCGCTGTAACATTTTGAGGCTTCCTCATTTTCGCTGGGGGACATTCGTCGCATGCCGTCGCGAACTCGACACCCTTCTTTCGCCAGGGCCGCTTTTACCAAAAAGGACGAAGCACCAATGACAGAGAGAGGTGCCTGCACGCCACGTCAGATGCCACCGACGCAAATTCGACCACGCTGTCGCCTTCGAATCGCCCACGTCACTTCCGCCTCGCACCAACCAGTCCCCATGCATTCCGCCTCGCACATGTGGCCCCGCGCACCGCCATCCGCGTTCCGCATGCGCTGACAACCTTGGCTGTCGATCACCAATCCGATGCCTTGCCCCTCCCCCGTCCCCTGGCAAAAAGAGGCACAGAAACGCCAATCAGCATTGAGGCTCCACCGCCCCCCACCCTCGACAGCGGGCAGAAGCTCCCTCCCCGCGCCCCCGGGCGCGAGGGTGGGAAGCTGGTGGCCCAACATTTAGGGCGTGGAGCCTACGGTTGCGGTTCCGTTTTGGGTTGCGCAACCGGACTGGTAACAACGCTCGCAAAGTCGCGAAAGCGTTTTTGCGAAAGCTGGACGTGGGTTGCGCAACCCACGTCCAGCCCGGTTCCGAAACCCACTTCCGCAACCCAATCCGAAACCCACGTCCACGAGAATCAAACGGACTACCACTTGGTCGAGAAATCCAACCCTATGTCCGAGAAACTGTTCGCCTAACGTGCCACGAACCCAACATTTCGCCAAACGGGCCCATCGCCAAGGCGGGACATGTCCCGCAGTTTTTGTCTTTTGCGAATTGGAGGAAACGTACCCCTGTTTCCGATTTCGCACAATGGTTAAAATTTCGAAATTTGAAACTTCTGCAACCCAATGTTCATGGTGCGTTGGGGGCTTGTGCTGAGTTGCGCAAGCCCATGTTCCAGTTGCGTTACGGGGTCAGGATTCGTGGATTGACCAACTGGAAGCGCAACCCACAGATGCGCAACCCTAGGATACACGCCTTTATAGCGAGGCGGATAACGCAAATGGCGGTCGCTCGCAGCAGTCCACGGGGGACATGTCTGAAGAGCTTTATTACCGGAGTCAGGAAGAGCCATTGAGCCTTCTGCTAGGTTGAGCAACGCGTTGTCGCTACGTTCGACCTAACGGGCTCTCGCAGAATGCCGTCGACTGCGGCCTCTGATACCCTATCAAAAACCATTTATTTGCGCCAGGCGTATCCTTGACGCGATTGACGAGAAAGCCAGCTCTTTTCTTGGCTTACGCGCCAGCGTCTAAGAGAAACAGCAACTTTAGCGAAATTAGGACCCTTCGTAGTTGAAGCCATGGCTGTCACCAGCGCTGTTTCTCGGCCGGCGCTTGCATCTGCGCTGAGCTCCGCTCGTAGCGCTGAGTCGAAACGAGCACGTGTACATCATAGTCTAGTAACAGACAATCCTGTAACGGGTGGTCCTGTAACGCAAAGGCACGCGTTTTCAACCAGGCCACGACGTAGCCGTGCTTGTTTAGGCCCGGAATCAAGCTCCCGATCCACTTATCTGTCGCAATGTCGCACCAAGTCACGGCCATGGCGCCTTGCCTTCCAAGCCGCCGCGGAAGGAAATGGAGCCGCGTCGGTAGCCGCGGCGGTGGTGGCGGAGGACGCGGAGTGCGAGGGAGACGCGGACGACGGGTACTGCAGCGCGCAGGAGTTCAGCGGCGACGGGCGCGAGCCCGCGGTGGATGATCCGCGCGATGCCTCGCGCGCAGAGGAGCCGCGGAAAGAGCACAAGGCGTCCTCGCCGGTGATCACGTGGCAGCTCGTGGTTGGGCTGGTGCTGCGGCACAAGCTGCGGCTGCTGGGGCTGGCGGTGGGGCTGGTGGCGGGCACGGCGTGCAACGTGGTGCTGCCGCGCATCAACGGTAACTTCGTGCAGGCGCTCGTCGCGCCCGTGCCCGTGCCGCTGCCGCGCCTGCTGCTGCCGATCGCGGCGATCTACGTGGTGGAGCCCGCCGCGACGCTGCTGTTCGTGTCGAGCCTGTCCGCCGTGTGGGAGGCCGTCATGGCCGCCGTGCGCGTCCGCGTTTTCCGCCGCCTGCTGCTGCAGAAGGTGAGCGGCTCAGCCCGGGCGACCAGGCGAATGAAGTTTAACGAGCCCAAGGCACTCGAGCAGAGGAACCCGCCGCCATGCCAACCTCTCCCTTCCCCATCAACCCTTCCCTCTGGCACCCCTCCCCCCCTCTCCCCCTCTCCCCCTCTCCCCCACTCCCCCTCTCCCCCTCTCCCCCTCTCCCCCCTGCCGTGCGCGCGGGCCAGGTGGCGTTCTTCGACGCGCACAAGGCGGCGGAGCTGAGCGGCGTGGTGGCGGTGGAGCTGGGGTTCCTCGACAAGGCCGTCACCGACAACGTCACGCGCGACCGCGGGCTGCGCTCCATCTGCGAGGTGAGGTGCTGCCAGGGGCTGCACGGCGTGTGCCCGTGTGGGAGGGGCTGCGAGGGGGTCCATCTGTGGGGGACCGCTTGCCGTCCGTCCGTGTGGGGGGTACCGTGAGGAGAAAGGGAGGGGGAGGGGGGAGAGGTGGGTGTGTGGTGTGGCGGTGCACGGTGGTGCAGTCACCAATCCTGTCTCTTCCTTCATCCCCCCAGTGCCCATCCTCCCGCCATACCCTATTCGCCCCTGGCCTCACACGCCCATCCTCCACTCCCCATCCCGCGTGTGTGGGTGGGTGGGCGGCAGGTGGTATCGACGCTGCTGGTTCTCTTCTTCATCGCGCCCGACCTCGCCCCTGTATTCTCGCTGCTCGCCGTCGGCATCTCCCTCATCGCTGGTCAGACCCCCTCACATGCCATGCCCACACGCACCACCATGCGTCGCCATGCAGGTGTGATGTGTGTGCCCAGCATGCATGCGCGCTGTGCACGGTCATCAAGCAGCACCTCAAATTGCATCTCCACTTGGGTTTCGCACTCCTCCAGTCGCCATCATTCCACCCCCCCACTCCTTCTACTCCCCTGGCTGCCCGAGCAGGCATCTACAAGCGCGGCACGATGCCCGTGTTTGTGAGCAGCAGCAAGACCCAGGCGCGCATCACCGACGCCGCCTCCGAGACCTTCCAAGCCATCCGCACTGTACGCGCCTCCTCTCCCCCCCCTCCCCCCTCCCCCCTTTCCTCCCCCCGCTCCCCCCCCGTTGCTGCTGAGCGCTGTGAGGCCGTGCCGCCCCACTCGTCGCTGTCTCTCGCTCTCTGCGCTTCCCACGTGTTCGCGAGTATACTGTACTTCAACCTATCGACCTTCACCCCCCCCCCCTTCGCCCCCCTCCCCTGCGTCCTCTCACTCCCCTCCAGGTGCGGTCCTTCGGAGGCGAGGCACGCCAGCTGGCGCGGTTCGCAGGCCACGTGGCGGAGGCCCGGGAGACGGGCACGCGACTGAGCGTGCTCAAGTCGACGAATGAGGCGCTGACACGTGGCTGCGTGTACATCTCCCTCATGTGTGTCTACATCCTGGGCGGCCACAAAGTGCAGACGGTGCGTGCCACCCATAAGGGGGAGGTGTGGGGGGTGGGGGGGGGGGGGGGGGGAGGGGGATCATGGAGTGCACGCAGCTGGGGGACTTGGAGCGAGTTGAGGCGTGTCAGCTGATTGAGTTGGTCTCCTCCAGGGCTCACGCTTTAGGATTTCAGATTTTGGGGTTTTGAGTTGCTTGGTCCCATCGCATCACATCACGGCTCTCCGTGGCACGTCATCCTTCCTTCCCCAAACGCCCCTCTCACCACCCCGCACTTCCCATGTGTCATCGCACATACCCCATCATGCTGCCTTGACATGGCATGGCATGGCATGGCATTATGTGACATCCCCACAGGGCATACTGCCAGCTGGCACGGTGCTGGCATTTGTGGGCTACACATTCCTCCTCACCTTCGCTGTAAGCTTCCTCTCTATAGTCATCATCAGCCAGCTCGTATATTCACTTACTCACGTCAGTTTCTTAAGTCTTATTGCTACACTGGACGGCATTCCCTCCCAGTGCAATCACCCCATGCCATCACCCCATGCCATCACCCCATGCCATCACCCCATGCCATCACCCCATGCCATCACCCCATGCCATCACCCCATGCCATCACCACCCCATGCCTATCATCCCATGCCATCACCCCATGCCATCACCCCATGCCATCACCCCATGCCATCACCCCATGCCATCACCCCATGCCATCACCCCATGCCATCACCCCATGCCATCACCCCTGCCATCACCCCATGCCATCACCCTGCCATCCCCTGCCATCACCCCATGCCATCACCCCATGCCATCACCCCATGCCATCACCCCATGTCATCACCCCCTGCCATCACCCCATGCCATCACCCCATGCCATCACCCCCTGCCATCACCCCATGCCATCACCCCCTGCCATCACCCCGTGCCATCACCCCGTGCCATCACCCCATGCCATCACCCCATGCCATCACCCCATGCCATCACCCCCTGCCATCACCCCGTGCCATCACCCCGTGCCATCACCCCGTGCAGATCCAGGGGCTGGTGAACACCATGGCGGACATCCAGAACGCGCTCGCAGCCGTGGGGCGCATCAACGCCCTCCTCTCCTCCACCCCACCCGAGCCTAACCTCGCCATCCCTGAACCTCTCCCGGACCTCTCTGTGCCGCTCGCTCCCACCACGGATTGCCACGAGCCAGGGAGCTCAGGGGCAGTGAGGGGGGAGGCGGGAGAGGAGGAGGGCGCGGAGAAGGCAGTGAGGGCGAACGGGGCAGCGGCGGTGGCGGGAGGGGGTGGGTTGTCCGCGTGTGAGCTGGCGTGGACGGGCGACATCGAGCTCAAAGGTGAGGGAGCACTGCCTTGTGGCGCCCGAGTCCCTTCGCTCTAGTGCTGCTGGGACGACAGAAGCCCGTGGGTGCACGCCAGCACCCTGCATGCATGCAGGCAGGCAACCCCCCCATGTCTCCCCTTCTTTCATCGATGCTCGTCCCACTTATTTCAACCCTCTCCCGCCCTTAATTTCTTAGCCGCCAGCCCCTTAACCCGCTGACCCGCCGACCCGCCGACCCGCCAACCCGCTGACCCGCCAACTCGCCGTCTCGCGAGCCTGCTGACCCGCCGTACTGGTCGAGTCTTGCGAGGAGGAAGGGGAAGAAGTGTGTGCATGGATGCAGCACACCAGTACCCCCCCTCCTTCCCCCCCCTTCCCCCACACCCCCCGCCTTGCGTCTCCCTCAGACGTGCGCTTTGCCTATCCACAGCGGCCGTCAGTGGAGGTGATCAAGGGCATCAACCTCACGCTGCCACGTGGCAGCGTCACAGCGCTTGTGGGCGGCAGTGGAGCGGGCAAGTCAACGGTGGTGCAGCTGTTCTCAAGGTTCTATGAGGTGCGCCCGCCACTTGCCCAACGCATGCCTTGGCAGAGAGAGGACAGCAACTACATCGTACGATGCCTGCATTCTCAACCAAGCTATCTTTCCTGCTGTCCCTTCGCTCCTCGCCCCGCTCATCACACCACACCACCCCTCTCACCTCCCTTGCTGCCTGTGCATGCCACCAGCCGGTGTCGGGCACCATATCCCTGGCGGGCATTGACATCTCCGCCTTTGACCGCACGCAGTGGACTCGCGCCGTCTCTCTCGTCAGCCAGGTGAGCGGGCAGAGGGGGGGGCGGGTGGTGAAGAGGCGGATGCTACGAGGTGAGCAGCGCAGTGGATGTGAGGCGAGGGTGGGGTCCAGTCCAGTCGCTCCAGCGCGCGCCCATGCAACGCAGCCCACTGCGCACCGCACTGCACCTCAAGGCCTATATGTGTTCGCCATTGTCGTAGAACGCGAGGGGCCACTAGAAAAGGGACCATGGGCTGGCCCATTATGCACTCGCACATGTTCAAAGCCACATTCCTCCCTCCCTCCTGACTTCCCATCTTCCTCCACCCCACCAAACACCCCCCCTCCTTTGCCTTTCTTTCCGGCTGCAGGAGCCGGTGCTATTCGCCATGTCGGTGCGTGACAACATAGCTTATGGCCTCCCTGATGCTGACGTGGCAGATGCTGACATCATCCGGGCTGCCAAGGCTGCGAACGCGCATGAGTTCATTGTGAAGCTGCCCCAGGTGCATGCCCTGCCATGCCCCCCATGCCATCATCATGTGAATGCACATGCCACCCATGCACATGATACTCTGCGTCGTCTTAATTCTCTCAGGCATCCAACCCGTGCTGCAGCCATGCCCGAGGAACAACTGCCGCCCACCCACCCACCACTCATCCCTCGTGCACTCTCTCTCCTTCTCACCCCTCCCGTCGTGCGCTCCCTTCACCTCGCCCTGTGTTGCGCGCATGGCACGGTCTGGCAGGGCTACGACACGCTGGTGGGGGAGAGGGGCGGGCTGCTCAGTGGCGGCCAGAGGCAGGTGAGCCGCACAGCCACGTGTGAGCCGCACAGCCACGTGTGAGCCGCACAGCCACGTGTGAGCCACACAGCCACGTGTGCGCCCACCCTTTGGTTGTTTTCGTCACTGGTGCAATCAGTGGGAGTCTCGAGGTTTGCATGATGTGTTCAATGCGTGCAAGGGGATAAACTGGGAGGGAGGGGTTGGAGGTGCGTTGTTACCCATCCTGTTTCCGCGTGCTGATGTTTCTCCCCAGTATGCTCCTGTGCATGCACGTGTGCACACACATGTGCCCCTTCACTCCTGTGCATGTATACATGATTGATGCACCACTACCATCCCCACCAACCACCCCCCCTCCCCCCACCCCGCCTTCCGTTCTCAGCGCCTGGCGATAGCGCGGGCGATTCTGAAGGACGCGCCCATCCTGATTCTGGACGAGGCTACGAGCGCACTGGACAGCGTGTCGGAGCGACTCGTGCAGCAGGCGCTGGAGGGGCTGATGCAGGTGAGAGAGGGGGTCATGCAGGTGAGAGAGGGGGTCATGCAGGTGATAGAGGGGGTCATGCAGGTGAGAGGGGGGGTCATGCAGGTGAGAGAGGGGGTCATGCAGGTGAGAGAGGGGGTCATGCAGGTGAGTGGGGGGGTCATGCAGGCGAGAGAGGGGGTCATGCAGGTGAGAGAGGGGGTCATGCAGGGGAGGGGCTGGAGGGGCTCATGCTAGAAGCTGCAGTCATGCCTATCGATGGTGTCCATGCATGTCCGTGAGCACCACCGTATGTGCATCACACTCCCCTATCCCCTTGGCTTCTTGCCATCCATTCCCCCGCTCTCATTCCGCATCCTCAGGGCCGCACAACGCTGGTGATAGCCCATCGCTTGAGCACTGTGCAGGCTGCAGATCAAATAGTAGTGATGGCGGCCGGCAAACTGGTGGAGAGAGGTACCCATGCCGAGCTGGTGGCACAGGGGGGTGCATATGCCACGCTAGTCAATGCGCAGCACTTGACGTTCGAATAGCTTGATTCAATAAAGTGATTGAGAAAGCTTGCTTTCTTGTCCTTTGCAATAGGCATCGTTCTCATTTCAAGTGGGCATCGTTCTCATTTCAAGTGGCATGGTACAATAGTCGCTTACTAGCTTATAAGAATCTAAACATGCACACATCATGATCCTAGTTGTGCGCTCCCGTTCAAGTGACCGGCTGTCAATTGGAGATGGGCGATTGTCTAGAGGGGGGGGTGGGTGGGAAAGTTGATTGAGCCGTTTGAAAAATGAGAGACGTGGGTGGAGGTAAATGAGCTCCAACCCACGTATATGTAGTTGGAGAGGGGCGAGTAGCGCGCTTCGACGATGCCCAATGCTTCAGTACAATCAGCTTCGCTTTCACAATACACAATTTTTGAAAAACACTACGTGTGTTAAAAATTTATAATATTGAGATAGCTTGCTTTCTTGTCCTTTGCAATAGGCATCGTTCTCATTTCAAGTGGGGTCGTTGAGACATGTGCAGTGGGTGTCAAATATATGTATAACTCATATTTGTATAGACTGTATAGGGTCACCTCTTAGAGGGTACAACACTCTTAGGTATATACCCTTGTTCTCTCCCTCTATGCAATTATTCAGTTTTTCTTTTGATATGGTATCACCCGTATGTTCGACCCCCCCCCCACCTACTGCTTTCGCCCGTTCCTCCTAGGCCCCGTCGCGCTTTCACCTAGGCCCCGTCGCGCCGCCCCCACCTAGGCCCCGTAGCGCCCCTCCTGGGCCCCTATCGCGCCTCCTAGCCCGTCGCGCCCCTCCTGGGCCCCTGTTGCGCCTCCTAGCCCGTCGCGCCCCTCCTGGGCCCCTGCCGCGCCTCCTAGCCCGTCGCGCCCCTCCTAGGCCCCACTCGCGCCTCCTAGCCCGTCGCGCCCCTCCTGGGCCCCTGGCGCGCCACCTAGCCCGTCACGCCCCTCCTGGGCCCCTCTCGTGCCTCCTAGCCCGTCACGCCCCTCCTGGGCCCCGCCGCGCCTGCCCGGCCCTGCCGCGCCTCCAGGCCCCGCCGCCCTTGACTGGTCCGCCGCACCTGCCAGGCCCTGCCGCGCCTGCCTGGCCCCGCCGCACCTGCTTGGCCCCGCCGCGCCTTCTGGCCCCGCCGCGCCTGCCTGGCCCTGCCGCGCCTCCTGGCCCCGACGCCCCTGACTGGCCCACCGCACCTGCCTGGCCCCGCCGCGCCTTCTGGCCCCGCTGCGCCTGCCTGGCCCCGCCGCACTGCCTGGCCCCGCCGCGCCTGCCAGGCCCTGCCGCGCCTCCTGGCCTCGCCGCCCCTGACTGGCCCGCCGCGCCTGCCTGGCCCTGCCGCGCCTACCTGGCCCCACCGCACCTGCCTGGCCTCGCCGTGCCTTCTGGCCCCGCCATGCCTCCTGGCCCCGCCACGCCTGCCTGGCCCTGCCGTGCCTGCCTGGCCCCACCGTACCTGCCTGGCCCTTTCGCCCCGGCCCGTCCTGCTGTGCCGCCTCGGGCTCCGTCTCCTCCGCTCGCCCGTGCTGAGGCGCTTCATGGCCACTGTGCTGGAGGGGGCTGTAGCTGAGTTCCTGTGGAGCTGTGCCGCTGACCCTGCACGATGGCGGACTTTGTGCTCCGACTGGACGCCGAGGGCCATGCGGTTGACTTCGCCGCCTGGCTCTCCGATCTCCGCCGCCACCTCACAGGTCAGCGTCAGGATGGCCACTCTTTGGTTGTCCATGTTGACGGCTTGCTCCCCCGCCCCCCTGTCCCTGCCCCCTCCCTGCTGATCCCTCCTCTGATGACCGTGAGACCTTCTCTACTGCTGCGCTTGCCCGTGCGGTCTGGGACTCCCACGATGCAGTCGCTCAGGTCGCCATTAGCCATGCCCTTCCTGTTTCTGAGCGCTCGCGTTTTGCTACTATTGAGACGGCCAAAGCTTACCTAGATGCTGTTATTGCCCGCTATTCCACACCCGCGTCTGCTTCTGCTGGTCGCCTGCTCTTCCCTATGCTTTTCCCAGACCTTGCAGCTTTCCCTACCGTCGCAGACTTAGCCACTCACCTGCGTGCTCTAGAGACCCGCTATCGCACTGCCAGCACTGCTGCCCAGCTCACTGCGCTCCCCCCCCCATTTCTGCATGACAGTCTATTTTATTGCCATGCGCCTGCCAGACCGCCTCGCTAGTGCTCGCGATCACTTCCTTAGCCTGCACCCGGCTGACCTCACTCTCACCGCCTTTGTCGACACCCTCACCGAGATCGAGACTCCCCAGCTGTGAGAGTACGACCCCGTTACACCACTTGGCCTTTTCTTATTTCCTTCTTATTCCATTTCTCTTTTTATTCCATCTCATTTGGTTTCCTATTCTCCCTTTTCCATTAACCTTTGGGTTATCGTGCTATTATCATTATATCACCGACCAGGCTTGGGATGTACTGGCGCGCTCTATCTAGCGTAATCCTGCTGTAATCCCTTAAAGCCAATAGCCTCGCGTGGCTATACGCAGGGTGATTCTATCTTCTAGAAGGGTCTATTCCCCTAGGATAAGATAAACCTGGTTACCTGATGTACTATGGAAGTATAAAAAGCGCTTTGTACTGATCGATAGTGCAACCTTTCCTCGACACATTCGATCCTGTGACACTTGGTAATCAGAGCTTTTCTCACTCGGCCGCGCTCAACAAAAGCAGCAACAGCGGGGAAACCTGCCTCGAAAAACCGCCGGGGGCGACCAATTCGATGCCGATTCTGGTAAGCACCAGCTCCGCAATTTTCGAATTACCCCCTCCGTGCGTGTTTTGAACAGGATGGCAACCTTCGACAACAACGAGGTTACCCAGCAGCTCTTCGCGCGCATCGCAGCCCTTCAGGAGGAAATGCGAGCGGACCGCGAAGCATGGCGAAGCGAGTTCGAGCGAGTAACTCGACTCGCCGGAGCGGCAGCACGAGACGACAACGGCGACGACGCAGCCAGTCGCAGCAGTTTCTCGAGGCTCCGAAACCGCGCCCACCTGAGCCGTTCGATCCGAGCGATCGAAACTCCGACGCCCGCAGATGGATCGCCGGGATGGAGATCTACTTCGCAGCCGTCGGATGGAGCTCGCCAGTCTGGGACGGTCAACGCGTACCGACTCGCGGCGACACTGATGCGAGGGCCGGCACTCGAGTGGATTGGCGGCAACAGTACCTTCATCCACGGTGAAGCCACCGTGGCAGCAGTTCCGCGCTGACCTGCTGAAACGCTTCGAGCCGATAAATTCCAGTTTCCTTGCCCGGGAAAAAATCCATCGGCACCGACAGTTCGGGAGTGTAGCTCAGTACACGCAGCAAATGGAGGAAGTTTATAACCGCATTCCCGACCTGACTGAACGTGAGTTCTTGCAGGCTGCTCGGAGAGTTGCTCCACAATCTGGTTAAGGCGCTCGGTCTGTCCGTCTGTCTGCGGATGGTATGCGGATGACATGGCGAGTTTGGTGCCGAGCAGAGACATGAGTTCCTTCCAGAACTTGCTGGTGAACTTGGGGTCTCGGTCGGAGATGAGGGTAGTTGGAATGCCATGCTGTGAGATAATGTAACGAACAAAGAGTTGTGCTGTCTCCTCGGTGCGGTCCGTCGTGTGTGTCGGGATGAAGTGTCCCATCTTAGAGAATTTCTCGATGACGACAAGAATTGCGTCATGACCGCTAGTGGTAGGTGGTAACCCGGTGATGAAGTCCAGGCTAACCACTTGCCATGGCTGTTCTGGGACAGGAAGAGGCTGTAGCAGTCCTGCTTTTTTCTGCTTACTGCTCTTCATCCGTTGACATGTATCACACGAGGTGACGAATTTCTGAACATCATCTGCCAAGTGGAGGCCAGTAGTAGTGTTTTGCCGATACCGGTCAGCGTCTTGTTGCTACCGAAGTGTCCGGCGTAGAGGACGTCGTGGTATTCTTCGAGTAGTAACTGGCGCAAAGGAGGGTAATTGGGTACCCAGATTTTCGTTGATCCTTTCCGGTACGCAATGTCGTTGTCCCCACTGTAGTAGATGTCATTTTTTCTGCCAAGGGAATTTCCGGGTCGATGGTATACCCGTGTGTGAAGAGTCCCTTGAGTAGTGGATTCATCCCTTCGACCGTGAATAGCGGCAACGTGTGCAGGCCGGCTGAGAGCGTCTGCTTTGTTCTTGTGACCGGCTTGTACACGATGTCGTAGTGGAAGGTGTGTCTCGAGGAAGTCGATCAACCGGACTGCCGCCTGGAAAGGTTGGGTTGTGTCTTCAAGTATTTCAGGCTGCAGTGGTCGGTGTAGACGGTTGTTCTTCGTCCTTCGAGATAGCATCTCCACGCTTTGAAGGCGATGATGATAGCAAGGGCCTCTTTGTCGTGTATCGGGTAGTTGAGTTCTGCCCCGTAGTTTCTTGCTGAGGTAGGCAATTGGTTTGCAGTCCATTCCCCTGGTCTTGCATCAAGACTGCTCCCACTGCCTGTCGCTGGCGTCAGCTTCGATGACGTAGTCGCGTTCGGGATCTGGCAAGATGAGTACCGGTGCGGACGTAGTGCTTGTTTCAGCTGCTCCACGGCTTCCTGGTGCTTCGGTCCCATTTGTAGGGCGTGTTCTTCTTCAGCAGATTCGTGAGTGGTGCTGCGATTTTCGCATACTGTGGCACGAACCTGTTGTAGTAATTAGCGAAGCCTAGGAACTGCTGCAACTCCTTCACGTTCTCGGGTGTCTTCCACGTACGTACGGCTTCGATTTTCTTGGGGTCGACGTGAACTCCTTGAGCGCTCACCATGTGTCCTAGGAACTGGACCTTTTCAAGGGCGAATTCGCTCTTGGACAGTTTGACGTAGAATCGTTCTCGTCGAAGAATTTCGAAGACGCGTCGCAGGTGTTCGACGTGCTGCTTCATGTCGCGCGAGTAGATGAGTATGTCGTCCAGGTACACCACCACGCATTCGTCCAAAGTGGTCGTAGAATGTGGTTCATTTCGGCTTGGAACGTTGCCGGTGCGTTGGTGAGTCCGAACGGCATTACCAAATACTCGTACGATCCGTACCGAGTTCGGAAAGCAGTTTTGTGGATAGAGTTGTCCGCCATCCGTATCTGCCAGTATCCGGACCGCAGATCCAGTTTGGAAAATACCGTAGCTCCCCGAAGCTGGTCAAGCAGGTCATCGATTCGCGGTATCGGATATTTATTCTTGATGGTCTGCTTGTTAAGAGCTCGGTAGTCGATGCACATGCGCAGGCTTCCGTCCGGTTTCGGTGTGAAGAGTACTGGGGCACCGTATGGCGAAGTGGATGGTCGGATGAGTCCTTTGGCTAGGAGATACTCGATCTGTTTTTTCATGTCGGTCAGCTCCGTAGGGCTGAGCCGATATGGTGCTCGGAAGGTCGGCTTCGAACCCGGTTCCTCCACGATCTCTGTGTTGATGCGTTCGGTATGGCGGTAGCTCGTTCGGAAGATCGTCAGGAAGAATGTCTTGGAACTCCTTCATAATTCCTTGATTTTTCTGGAGTTCCGAGGCTTTCTCTCCGTCATTCTCCACCTCTGTTGCTATCGCCAGGAACCCGGTGTCGGTTCGCTTCACGTCCTTCTCGAATCGTGCGAGTGTCTCCACTGGGATATCTCCTGTATCGTCCCAGTTGGGTAGCTGTACTCTCCGTCCATTGTTGTAGATGCTTGCGGTGCGGTTCACCCAGTTGATCTCGGGGTTGAATCTTTTTCAGGAAGTCTCGCCCGAAGATCAAGTCAAGCCCTTTGATGTTGGTGATGGGGAGTGCAGGTCTCCAGCGCAGTGGTCCAATTTGTAGGTGTAGCACTGCTTCGCCGTGTACTGGTAACTTGCTGCCGTCCACCATCGTTGCAGAGAATCCTGAAGGCTTGTACTCTTCCCGAAGTCGGTCGATTACTGCCTTGTCGCAGACGGTGTGTGATGCTCCGCTGTCCACGAGTGCTTGGAGGCGTCGTCCTTTGCAGATGACCTCGAGCACGAGGGGCAGTCGTTGCTCGGAGTACCCAAAGATAGTTTCATTGATTGGGTCATAGGGTACATCCCAATATTCCGTACACACCTTTGTGTTGCTATCTACTCCTGAGCTGGCAGCTGGCCGAGGCTGCTTGGAGAACGGCTCTTCTCCAGGGCCCGGAGTTTCCTTGACGACTGTGCGCGTCACTGATGCCGAAGAACTGGATGCATCCGTAGGAGGAGTTCGGGGTTTGTGCAGCTTCTTGTAGACCCCCAGCTTCCTCTTGAGCTGCTTCAGCTCCACCGACGTCTTCCCTGGGGAACGGGTAGTCGTTGTGGGCTGGTGTCGGGAGAGGACGTTGACTCCGTGGAAAGGTCGGCTTCTTTCCACACTCCTTAATTTTCCCCAAGTTGTCCGGTACCGGTATAATCTCCACAGCTGTCTGCTTCTTTTGGAGTCCCTCCCGAAATTTCTCCAAGGCTCTAGCCCCTCGAAATCATAAGTTTTCATTAAAGCATCTTTATAAGATAACTTTAACGAATTCTTATAATTTCTTGGGTCTTCAAGGAGTTTCCCTGTCTCGGCAGAGTCTTTTTTCGCGGAGTCATTTTTCCTCGGCGATTTTCCCTGGCGAAGACTGGTCGTGGGGTGGAGATTTTCCCCCATCATTTCCTCCTTCTCGCGTCGAATCAGCTTCGTCGAAGTTGATTTTCCGGAATCCCGCGGCCGTTTCGGATCTTTTTATTTTCGCCAGCTAGATCCGCAATCACTGGCGACTCCCGTTTTTTTCTTCTGATTGGCCGAAGAATTTCCGCCACTGTTGCGTGCCCGATACTCTGCGCGTGCGGTTTCATTTTGTTGCAGTCGAAGATTCGATGCCCGGCACCCCGCAAAAATCACACGTGTAGTTGGTGTTTTTCGGACGTGGCCGCCCCTCGAATCTGTCGACTTCCATCGGGTCGGCGAACGTGGGGTGAGCCGAGCGGTCGCCCTGTCGCGTACTGCCGACGTGCGTCCGTCGTGTTCCGGCGTTGACCATGTCGAAGCGCTCCGCTGCCGAAACGACGTCACTGTAGCTCGCGTAGTTTGACGCTGCGACTTGTCGTTTGACTTCGGTCTTCAGCCCGGCGAGGTACGATTGTACTTTTTCCCCTTCGGTCAGGTCGGGAATGCGGTTATAAAATTCCTCCATCTGCTGCGTGTACTGCGCTACACTCCCGAACTGTCGGTGTCGATGAATTTTTTCCCGGGCAAGGAAACTGAATTTATCGGCTCGAAGCGTTTCAGCAGGTCGGCGCGGAACTGCTGCCACGTGGCTTCACCGTGGATGAAGGTACTGTTGCCGCCAATCCACTCGAGTGCCGGCCCTCGCAGTGTCGAGTCGTACGCGTTGACCGTCCCAGACTGGCGAGCTCCATCCGACGGCTGCGAAGTAGATCTCCATCCCGGCGATCCATCTGCGGGCGTCGGAGTTTCGATCGCTCGGATCGAACGGCTCAGGTGGGCGCGGTTTCGGAGCCTCGAGAAACTGCTGCGACTGCTGCGTCGTCGCCGTTGTCGTCTCGTGCTGCGCTCCGGCGAGTCGAGTTACTCGCTCGAACTGGTTTCGCCACGCTTCGCGATCCGCTCGCATTTCCTCCTGAAGGGCTGCGATGCGCGCGAAGAGCTGCTGGGTAACCTCGGCGTTGTCGAAGGTTGCCATCCTGTTCAAAACACGCACGGAGGGGGTAATTCGAAAATCGCGGAGCTGGTGCTTACCAGAATCGGCGTCGAATTGGTCGCCCCCGGCGGTTTTTCGAGGCAGGATCCCCGCTGCTGCTGCTTAGCTGAGCGCGGCCGAGTGAGAAAAGCTCTGATTACCAAGTGTCACAGGATCGAATGTGTCGAGGAAAGGTTGCACTATCGATCAGTACAAGGCGCTTTTATACTTCCAGAGTACATCAGGTAACCAGGTTTATCTTATCCTAAGGGAATAGACCCTTCTAGAAGATAGAATCACCCTGCGTATAGCCACGCGAGGCTATTGGCTTTAAGGGATTACAGCAGGATTACGCTAGATAGAGCGCACCAGTACATCCCAAGCCTGGTCGGTGATATAATTATAATAGCAGGATAACCAAAGGTTAATGGAAAAGGAAGAATAGGAAACCAAATGAGATGGAATAAAAAGAGAAATGAAAAGAAGGAAATAAGAAAAGGCCAAGTGGTGTAACGGGGTCGTACTCTCACACTCATTCTCGAGGAACCGGGTTGGTGTCGGCTGTCTCCAGGACCTCGGCGTCACCACCACGTTCCCCGGGCACGAGCGATTCGCTGTATGTTCTGAGGCTGTCTGAGATTCCCCCCTTGCGACATTCCCCAGGGACCTGGTGTCCGGTCTGTTTACCCTAGACACCGCCTCCCCTCCGGTTGGTGCGTCCTCCCAGGTTGCTGCAGCTTGCTCGTGTCGTTCCCTCACTCACCCGTCCCTTCTCTGGCACCACCGCTTAGGTCACCCTGCTCTCCCTCGTTTGCGTCACATGTCCCAGCACGGCCTTGTCTTAGGTCTCCCTGTGTCGCTCCCCGCCCTTCCTCCCTCGACTGCGCCACCGTGCACGCCTTGCGTCGAGGGCTGGCTCCGCCGTGCCCCTCACTCCTCCTCGCTACGCCCGGCTACTGCCCCCTTCAGACCCTGCACCTGGACGTTTGGGGCCCTGCCCCCGTCCGCGGACCGCGCGGTGAGCGCTACTTCCTTGTGCTCGTCGACGACTACACGCGCTACACCACGGTGTTTCCCCTGGAGCGGAAGGCCGACGTGCCCGACGTTCTTCTCCCGTGGGTTGTGGCTGCGCGTCTCCACCGCGGCCTCCCCGTGTTGTGTCTCCACTCCGACCGTGGCGGCGAGTTTGCCTCTGGTCGGCTTGGAGAG